ATAATCTTTCAGCAGCACTGTTCTGATAAGACGTAGTTGAACTGGTTACTTAGCGTTAATCTTTCAGCAGCACTGTTTTGATAAGACGTAGTTGAATTGGTTATTTAGCGATATAAAATCCATTACATTCTTTTCTTAACTTACCGCTAGTTTACTAATACAGTTTTTCTCTTATTTTGGTTCGGTAATCATGTAGCTTATCGTTGTACTTTCTTTGAAAGTTGTTTGTTTTTGAAGTGAATAAAATTGAATCATGAAAAAAAGTTGTCAAGCAAGAACAAAATTATCTTTGATATGGATTTACTGACCAAAGAACAAAATATGTTGTTCTTATTAATAAAAACTCGAGACTGTCAGAAAGAAATATAGCTGTGTTTATATACAAATCAAGTTTATATGTGACATTTCTCATGATATTTTTCTGTTCATATTTTCATGTGAGACAAAGAAAAAAGAGGATGGATTATCTAAAATAGGCAAAATTATGTCTTTAAAAGGGTGTTCGCGTATGACCGCCATAGCTCCAAGAGGAAACAACCTAGAAATCTGAAATTTTGCACCCATACAAAGTAGACCCTGAAGGTGTGCACCTGGGTATTATTACTTACCTTATCCACGTGCGTGAACGTATGCGCGTGCGCATCTTTTAATGAGGCAAGCTAGCGAAAAAACACAGAAAAGAAGTGGTTCCTTATATTACAAATATAAATCACAGACAGACACGCTATTTTATTATACACGTATAGCCCGTCAAAAATGACGAGGCAAGTACTACCACCCCATAATATACCCTGTATACCCTTCTAATATATAGAAAAGCCAGTTCATTTTGGTAACAATGCGTTCCAACAACGGCTTTTATGTCACGTTGCTTAGCAACAAAAGTATAACCTAATATTATTGTTAGTCTATGTTCCGAAAGTATAAAATGAAATGTATAGACAACAAAACTGGAAAAATATTTATTGATTTCTTAATTATTCTCTGTTAATTAAAGATGTTTTTTTTATATTAAAAATGTTGGTGGTATAACACAAACTACCTTAAGTCAGAAACGATTTAAGTTTAAAATTGGATCGATATTTCTAAGTTCATATTAATTTTTATGCACTTGGCTCTAGACTAGGTTATTTCACACTATGTCTTTACTTCAGACTTATTTATTAATTTCTTTAAATCATAAAAACATTCACTACACTTACAAGGTTTCACGGCCACCTTACACCCCTGTCACTAAAATTGTATTGGGCAAATCGTAATGTATGCCAAAATTGAAACAGAAAAACTGCAATTCATTCGCATAAACCAAAAGAAGTTCCGAGTTTAAGACCATGTCCACCTGC